TAAGGCATTTCGGAGACTTTTTATTTAATTAATTATTACTTTATTTTTATTTTATTATTTATTCTACTTGTATGTTTCTTATAAAATTAAGATATTTGGGAAGTATTTTTTAAAATTCATTTTTATAAAAAATTATGTCAAAATGTGAACTTACAACTTCAAAAAATAAAAAACTGATAAAAGATCTGTAAAATTATTTTACCAAATCTTATCTTTTCTTGCATGTTTCTCATAAATATAGAGCCATTAGAAAATGATTAAAAAAAAATATATATAATGTTTTCTGTCAAAATGTGAATTTTTCGTGTCATTTTTGGTCAAATACTAAAAGATTTTGACAAAGATATTTGTATTATTTTTCAAAATGTTATCTTTTCCTGCATGTTTCTCATAAAATTAGGGCATACAGAGAACATTTTTAGAAATAATTTTGTAAAAAGTTTTATGTCAAAATGTGAAGTTTTCATTTCATTGTTGGTAAAAAAATAAAGAATTTTGATGAAAGTTTTTGTAAAATTATTTTTAAAAATGGTATCTTTTCCTGCATGTTTCTCATAAAATTAGGGCATACAGAGAACATTTTTAGAAATAATTTTGTAAAAAGTTTTATGTCAAAATGTGAAGTTTTCATTTCATTGTTGGTAAAAAAATAAAGAATTTTGATGAAAGTTTTTGTAAAATTATTTTTAAAAATGGTATCTTTTCCTGCATGTTTCTCATACACATAGAACCTTTAGAGAACATTTTTTTGAAATTTTTTTGTATAAAGTCTTATTTAAAAATGTGAATTTTTCGTGTCATTTTTGGTCAAAAACTAAAAAAAGTTGACGAACATATTTGTAAAATTATTTTTAAAAATGTTATCCTTACCTGCATGTGTCTCATACATATAGAGCCTTTAGAGAAAAAAAAATCAAATTTTTTTATATAATGTTTTCTGTCAAACTGTGAATTTTTCGTGTCATTTTTGGTCAAAAACTAAAATATTTTGACGAAGATATTTGTTTAGATATTATTTTTCAAAATGTTATCTTTTCCTGCATGTTTCTCATAAAATTAGGGCATACAGAGAACGTTTTTAGAAAACTTTAATAAAGTATTATGACGAAATGTTAAATTTTTGTCATGTCAATTTTTCACCATCTGACCAGGACACAAAATTAGGATTTTTCAGAAAAATCCCGGAAAAAAAATGTACTAAAAATGTTTTCAAAATGCTTTTATTTGATAAGAAACATGTAAAAAAGGTAAAATTTAGATCTGATTTTTCAGAAAAATACCAAAAAAAAAATTCATTTAGAAATTTTTCAAAATGCTCTTATTTGATGAGAATCATCCAGTAAAGATAAAATTTTGAATTTTTTTTATCAAAATGCATCATCTTATTTGATGAAAAACATGCAGAAAACATTGAATTTTGATTTTTTTTTTCCCCAAAATGTATCCTCAAAATTTTTCACCATCTGACCAGGACACCCAAAATTAGGATTTTTCAGAAAAATCCCGGAAAAAAAATGTACTAAAAATGTTTTCAAAATGCTTTTATTTGATAAGAAACATGTAAAAAAGGTAAAATTTAGATCTGATTTTTCAGAAAAATCCCGAAATAAAATGTACTAAGAAATTTTTCAAATTGTTCTTATTTGATGAGAAACATGCAGAAAAGATCAAATTTAAAAAAAAAATGTACTAATTTTTTTTTGTGTAATTTTGTACAATTATTTTTCAAAATGTCTGCTTATGTTTCTCACCAAATTAAGGATTAAGGATTACAGATCATATTTCGAAATTTATTTTTAATAAAGCTTTATCAAATCAATCAATATCAATAAGGGCGGGGTGATATGGCAATAAAAAGATCACTATATATTTTTTCACGTTGTCTGAACTAATATATAATTCACTATGCACTAGTTTGCGAACTATGCACTTCTTTTATTCTTAAATTCTTAGAAATTACATTAACAATAAAAAAAAAAACATGCTATATTTTCAAAAGTCATGCAGGGATCTTAACGTTATATTATATTATATTATATTATATTATATTATATTATATTATATTATATTATATTATATTATATTATATTATATTATATTATATTATATTATATTATATTATATTATATTATATTATATTATATTATATTATATTATATTATATTATATTATATTATATTATATTATATTATATTATATTATATTATATTATATTATATTATTCTTCGGGCTGTACTCAATTGTACTCTCCTCCAAACCCGGAGTTTGCACAGACAGCCGCTGGTTATCTCTCCTGCATCTTAATCTGACGGTGTAAGCAGTTTGGCGTCTTCTGGGGAAACGGGTCATGTGATCAAAAAAGCAAAGGCATTGTCAAAACAAAAAAACAGACAGAAAGTGAACGTACACAGCTGTGTCAGTGTTTCTAAAGGTGTGTGTTTTTGCTCATTCATAATAAAACACAGCCCAGAGTTTTCACACAACAGCAGCAGCAGCAGCAGCAGCAGCAGCCGC